TGTGTCCCTAATCTGAATGAAGCACGTACTCAGGTAGTTTTATGAGGTCCTTACGAGCTTCTTCACAAGCAAATACTAATACACAGTAAGCTAAGCTTAAGAATCATGTGATTCTTTAGATGGTAAATCTGGTGGCTCAGAGTTGTACACATATTTGGCAGATTATCGGTTTATCGCTCATGGCTAATCTTTTAGAGAAGTGTGGCTTAAATCCTTTTGTTAACTAATTTAAAAAAAAAAGAGAGAAGTTAAAGCTGCATGTAGACTGTTAAGACATATTATTCACTCAGTGGTCTGTGCAATTGGTATGAATGTATAATTAGTAACTGTCTAAATATGAAGGTAGTCACATGTCGCAAGCCATCAAACATTGATGTGGGCTTGGGATTCAGAGTCGAGTCAATATGAAAATGTGAATATAAACCAAGTCATGCTTTTCAAAGTAAATTCTCCAGCCTTAGACCTACCTGACTCGTGACTCAGCAGCCTGCTTGTAGCACACACAAGTTGATAAAAGTCTCAGAGCACCTTTGCAACCAGGATTGCCCTTAGAACTCATAGCAGTTGCATGGCATGGACCAGGTGTCCCTAAGACAACCAACCTGGGAGCCCGCATGCAGCAGAGCCGTGCCTGTCATCCTCTTCGGAGCATGCAGTTCTGATATGAGTGTTATCCAAAGTAAAAGCATAAATAAATTGTTTGATGTAATAATTATGTTTCAAAAACCTTTATTTACTAGCACTGACCTACAGAAAAAGGCACAGAAGTCTCAAGGCTGCTGATCTTAACCTATGGAAATGGAATAAGCACAGGTGCTGAAAGCTAAGGCTTTTTCAATTTTCATGCCCCAGTGAGAAGTGTTTGCTCAGATGAACGAATTACAGAAGAGCTCCAAAGTAATGCAGAAAGGAATGAGGTTCTTCAATATATACCAATTTCTGCTTGGGGAAGAGTGAAATTCAGTCAGCAGTGCCCTGTCTCAGCTGCCTGTGCTGCTCTTGAGGGCAGATAATGTGGAGAAGAATTTGGCTGGTGTCAGCCCTTTTTGTCTCACTAAATTGCTGAGAGTCCTGGAGTAAGCAAAGAGGGTAAAGCATTTGGGGAAATTGTATTGCAGAGGAAATGGTAGAAGTGTTCTGCTCCAGCTATGGAGAACAGAGCTTCCTGTGTGAGTAATACCTGACGTTCCATTTGTTTGTGGAGTTGAAATATTCACATACAAAAAGAGGGAGAAACATGTGTTTGGGTGTATGGGTCTATAAATACACACACACAAAATAGCAATTGTTTATACTGCATACATGCTGGTTTTGGGATCAGTTTCTGAGTGGTTTGTGGTATGGCAGTGGCTCAAATGAGTAGCAGTGTAAGAATTTAGGAGTTGGTTTTTTGTTTGTATTTGCTTTTCCTATGTGAAAAATGGAAAGATTAGGAATCTCTTGGAAAGGAGCACCTTCTGTCTGTAGGAGATACCCAGCTATTCTTGTTCAGAGATGACAAAAGTTTGTGTGATTTATTGGAGATGGAACACTGAAGGCTGTAGCTTACTGAAATGAATTACTGCATAACTTTGGTGTATGAGTACCAAGCAAATGTGTGCTAGGCAAAAATCCAGAGATCTTCCAGTAAGATAAGAAGAAGCATTGGCTTTGTAATCTTACAGCACTCTAAAACAAGACACAACACAGAACTGGTAATTTATAATTCCTTAGTATCATTTTAGATTTTTAATGTTGTGTGCCTCAGCATTATACGTGAATATCTGCACTATCCACTTATATATCCATAGATATATAAACTCAGGATGCAGATAACATCCATGTCTTTATGTAGATTTTGCTTTTATAAGATTGCTTTCGTTGCAGTCTGAAGTCAGAATCTTTAATTTGGATATCTGCTCTTCAGAGAATAGTTAAGATATTTGGAGCACATAAGCATGGGATAAGCCAGAGAGTGTGAATGGAGGAGGAATGAGGGGAGAGGAGCAAATACATCCCTTTTTGCAGATGATTCCACTGATTCAGAACTCTGATTTGGTGCTGCTGATGGAACCAAGTGACTCTTTGCCACTGTAGGAAATCTTCCCATTATGTTCTGGCTTTAAGAAGGTTTGAAAAGAAGCTTTTAACAGCATTATTTGGGGGAGATCTCTGTCCAGTGCATTCTCTGGGAGTGATCCTGGCTGGTGAGCCCAAACCTGGGGCATTTTTATGTAGGCATTTCAGATTGGAGGAACATCCAGTGTGTTTGTAAATTTGCCATTCTACAGGTGTAACTGGTGCTGTCTGTGTAAAAGCTTAACATGAGCCAGCAGTGAGCCCATGCAGCTCAGAAAGCAAATGGTATCCTGGGCTCCATCAAAAGAGGGGTGGCCAGCAGGGACAGGGACAGGAAGGTGATTATCCCCTCTACTCTGCTCTTGTGAGGCCCCATCTGCAGTACTGTGTGCAGGTCTGAAGCCCCCAGTACAAGAAAGACAGGGAGCTGTTGGAGAGGGTCCAGAGGAGAGCCACAAAGATGATCAGGGGACTGGAGCACCTCCCCTATGAGGACAGGCTGAGGGAGCTGGGCTTGTTCAGCCTGGAGAAAAGAAGACTGTGGAGATGAGCTCATTGCAGCCTTCAGTACCTAAATGGAGCCTACAAACAGGAGGGGAATCAACTCTTTGGAAGGGTTGATAACTGCAGGACCTGGGGAAATGGTTTGAAGTTGAGGGAGGGAAGATTTAGGTTGGATGTCGGGGAAATTCTTTACAGAGAGAGTGGTGAGGTGCTGGAACAGCTGCCCAGAGAGGCTGTGGATGCCCCATCCCTGGAGGTGGCCAGGTTGGATGGGGCCCTGGGCAGCCTGGTCTAGTACTAAGTGGGGAGGTTGGTGGCCCTGCATGTGGCAGGGGGTTGGAGCTTCATGATCCTTGAGGTCCCTTCCAACCCAGGCCATTCTGTGATTCTGTGTACACATTCCAGGTCTGACAGATGACAGCTTTCCCTGTCACACACTTGTGATCCAGGTTTGAACCTCTTAGGAACCGAAAAACAGCTGCCAGATCCCCCTGCTTTCTAATTCTGCATGACTAAAGCCATTCAGCATGTTATAAATACTGCTGCTCATTCCAAATACACCAGGTACCTGTGCACATATCGTTGCCAGCGTATTTCTGCAGTAATGTGCAGTGGTTTAGCATTAGGCAACTGGCACAAATTAAAAAGCTTGAGTCACCGCCTTGCCTTTTCTGCATACACCCACGTGTATCTGTTACATCCGTGCTGCCTATGGGAGGAATGTGAATTGCAGCAGCACTGCGAACGCCCTGCCAGCAAACAAGGAATTGCACACACTCAGAAAATGGGTATCGGTGCAAAATGTGCGTCAGAAGAAGAGGAAGCGGGGAGCACACCGAATCATTTGTTTGATGTGGCTATAGGGGTCACAAAGAGACATTTTTCAACCAGGGGATTACTGTGCAGACAACAATGAAAATATGTCAGTGGTAAATGTTGGTGTGCTTTGTGACTGAGGCGTGCATCTTGATGTTTGGGTGACATTTTGCATATTTGTGAATGAAAGCCCTGTGTTCTGGCTCACATTTTACCACAAGACACAAAATCAGTCATTTTCCTGCAATTCAACTGTAATTGCTCATTATTCTTAAAGTACTTTCATGTTTAAGGACATTTCATAATCCCCACTGTTCTTTGCAAATGATCTGTAGAATAATACCAATTAGTTGAGGATTTCTAGTGACTGCATGTGTAGAAATGGGTTCCCTGCACATAGTTTTCTGCAATGGAGTGTTGTGTAATTTCTGCACCTGCAATTAGACTGAATGTGACCCAAGCTGCTTATATCTCTAAGAACTTCGATTGTGCTCATGTATCAGGGCATCATGTGTCATGTATTTGGGCATCAAAATATTGTGCCCTATGCCTCCAAACAGCAGCACACAGAAAATTGCAAGTGTCTCAGAAGAGGATGGCTTGAAAATCAGATCCCTGCACATTACAGAACTGTTGGCTGAAGCAGGGTGACAGGCCACAAAGAAAATTCTATTAGATGAGCAGTTCCCTTTTGTCCATTTAAAAAAGATGTGTTGTACTGAACACGAAGTCCCTCCCCTTGTTCTGAGGGGTTATCATTTACCTGGAAGAGCAAATAATTCTTTGGGCAGCTTAATGGTTTTGGAGCCCGCTCAGCTGCCTTGTGTGACACTGAATCTTTCACCTGCTGGCAGTAAATGCTGAGCATGCTGATGTTCCAGTGCTCAGGTGGTTCACGGAAAGCTCCTGTCTTATCTCTTCATAACTGTGTGCAGCTCAGCTTGGATTGTAACCTGAGGTTTCTCAGAAGTGTTCAGAGCTGGCTTAGTCTGTTTTCCTGCTGCAAGGTGAGGATTTATGTTTTTCACAAGGAAAATGGAGAGAGTGGTGCTTAGCAGCTTTGGAAATCCTCCCTCATAGCTTCTAATCGAGAAAAAATCAAGAGTTTGGGGTATTGCAGGTTCAACTCCTTCACAGCTTTGAAGAGCCTCCAGAATCTCGCCGGTATTAACTTGTGCCCTGGCATGTTGGGAGGCTGTGGCTGTGCTTGCAGGTATTGCTTGTCCCAGAACCCAGGAGCAGGATTTGTTATGCTCAGCTGCCTCCCCACATCTTGCTCTGTCTGGGCAGTGTTGCTGGCACTTAGACTTAACATCCTGAGAACAAACTGAGAGTCTTCCTGTCTTAGAATATCTTAGAATATTGAGTGTGGTGGGGCCATTATGTATTATTTCTGCTTTTATTTCACGCCTATAAATCTTCACAAAAAATATAATCCCTTTCCTCCTCAATAGGAGACAAATGAAAAGAACTTGAGGTTTTAAACAGTGAATGTGTACAAGTGTGTCACTTTCCAGTCGCATGACTTCTATCTCCACAGCTGGGCAACTTTCACTGCTCTCTGTCCTGAATTCAGAAATATAAGGAGAGACCTTCTAAGGTGTTTTATTTCCTTTTTTCAGTATTTCTGGCTTCTTGTGCTCTCACGGGGTTTGGTCGGCATTGGTGAAGCAAGTTACTCAACTATTGCACCAACCATCATAGGAGACCTTTTCAACAAAAACACCAGGACCCTTATGCTGTCTGTTTTCTATTTTGCAATTCCTCTTGGCAGGTAAGTGACACAAAGCTTTTTTTTCATCTGTTTTTGATTTAAAGTTAGCTCACACAAATCTTCTGTTGCCAGAAATGATGGTAATTCTGTCTTTGGTTGGAATGGTTTAGACAGGAAGATATTGTCAGCCATGACTACTTAGTTGCATTTGATTCCTTTTCTGTCCTTGTTACTTATTCATGTGTGAAATAAGTGGGAAGTACTGTTTTTTACAGCAATTAGGTAAAAATATTTTAGCTGACTTTCCTGGAACATTAATAACATAAGCTATCAATTTGAATAAAATCATATTTGTTCTGAATTGTTGCTTCAGTTCATCTGAGTTTGAGGCCTCTGTTAGTCAGTGTCCTTCAGGTTGCTGTGAAATCAAGATCTCGTAAGACACAGGACTATGTTTTCAAAAGTGAGCAAATGGATACCTGCTTCTGTGTGAAGATCTACATATCTGTGATTTCAAGAGGAGTATGCTTCATTAACACAAGCTGTTTTATTTTAATATATTGAAATATTCTGCACAGCCTTGAATTTTGCCAGTCTGAGTCTGTAAAGTGTGACTAAGCCAGTCTTGGTAGTTGTAATAGCAGTGGCCAGTCAATTTTAGTACTGTTGCCATTGACTCAGCAATTAAGAGAAATTCTTGAATCTAGTATGGACACGGTGAAAAGAGAAAATGTAGTGATTGTTCACACTTCTGTGCAGAGCAGTGGAGCACCATGACCGTCGATGCTTGATGGAGCCACAGACAAGCTCAGATTTGGAGTAATTATTTCCTGACGTTTTTTTCAACTGACTTCCCTTATCAGCCCAATGCAGTATCTTACTGTTGGGACAGGAGGGATTCTATGATTTTTATTTATTTTTTAAATAATGGCTGGCCAGCTATCATGAGGTTTGGAGGCAGAGTGGTTTCACACAGTTTGCAACTCTATTCCCAGAGGTGAACAGCTTCCTGTGCAGAAGTGGCATCACGTGTTTATTTCCAGTAGGGAAAACCTGGGCAACGGTTTAATCCCATCAGTTCAGGGAAAAATTTATTTAGGGTGGTGCATTTACAAGCCAGAGCAATTAGTCTTGTGATAAAACTCACAAACATCCTTTTGTTCTTGAGGAAAAAGAGATAGCCAAGTCATAAACTGATGAAAAGAATATTTTTCCAAGCAGGGAAATACCAGGGGTGCCAAATATTTACATTGAGAATTCAGTGAACTCTGGCTAGCAAGAAATGACAAGTATTCATCTGCTAAGCTCCAAATATCAAATGGAGGCGTGGATCCCTGGTTTGATTTTAGTAAATGGTTTGATTTCTGTAAATAGCAGTTTTGGACACATTATAGATGGCAACTTCCAAAACTTCGCAGACTGTTCAGTAAAGGCATGTGATTGCTGACATCTGCTTTTCAGTAGCCCTAGAAACTTTTAGGCAGTCACAGCAACAGATGCAGCAGTTTTGAAAGAATGATATCTATTTTTGTTCCGTTTTAGAGAAACTTGGTTTCATACACCTCTACTCAGTCTCTTGTGAGCCACCTTCTGTTACCACAGCATCATTCTTAGCATAGAGCTAAAGGTTCTCTTGCTCCTTTATCTTCAGACTGATCTGATTTTCTCCCATCTGACTGACTTGCATATTGCTCTTAGTTTTTCTTCTAAGTGTATAAAAAATGCTTACTTCATGGGTAGTTTGCACCAAGTACTATTAAATGACAAGAAAAAAATTTTGTGTTAGAATATGATGTGTTCTTGAAGGGCACTTCTTAACTGAAAGCCTGAATGTAAAATTATAAGTATTCATATTAGTGCACAGAAAGGAAAGATGTACAAATTGCATTATGAAATAAATTCTTTTTGAACCTTTTTGAGGGGATTGAAAGGTCGGTTATGAACTTGAGATCAGTGCCTGAATTTCCATGAGATTTCAGCTTTTTTGACTGAGAAAAGTTATATTCCCTCTATCCCTTTCTGCAGCAGAAGAGAGACTAGCAAACACAATTGATTGTGACTGTTTTTATCTTTTTTTAAGAACAACAATGACTGTTAAAACTCTGACCAACTCTTTTCTGTATATTACTTGCAGTGGCTTGGGATACATCACTGGATCAAGTGTGAAGCAGGTTGCTGGAGACTGGCACTGGGCGTTGCGGGTAAGCCAGTCTCTTGGCATGACATTCTTGTATGGGTATCCCTTGTTAAACTCATGATCTGGAGTAGCCACAAGAAAAAATGCTAGTTGGGATTTTGTTTTTTTTCAGAATCCTTTAGCTCTTCATTGATCAAAATAGCTTGAAATTCAAGATGTTCCCAGAAATGCAACAACCTTTATTTTTGCTTTTAAAACCACAACTTTCATTCTTCTTCCTCAGTAAAATTATAGATTGCCAGTATTCTGAATCAACATTCAATAAGCACTAGCCTGGCCTTGGGGAACCTTTGTCCCAGTTCATAGAGAGATTTATTAAGTCTTACATATCAATTTTGATAACATCTTAATAACAGTTGTATCAATTAATCAGTGTAAGGGAGAGAAGAGTTCTATCGCACATGTCCTCAACCTTTTATTATTTATGCTGCTATTGCATACAGATGCTAAAGGATGGGAGATTACATCTGTGGATAGTAGGTGCATAGTAGAGGTATTTTCTAAGCAAGTGAGAAAGGTATGTGGTTTTGGCTCATTGTACTTGTTTTTCTCCCCGCCTGGGAGCAAGAATTTTCCAATCACTCTATTATTAATCAACCATGATTTCTTGATGAGGATGGGGAGATGAGGCATTGGCCTTAAATCAACTCCACAGTCTTTCTGTCCACTGCTGTCAAGAAACTCTGAGAATGGCTTCCTGCTTTGAGGAAAAAACACTTTGTTCCAGTTTCCGCCTGTTTTTCTGCCCCGAGACAGTCAGCTTCCTTCTATTTTAACCTCTTGGGACCTTGATAAATGTGTTGAAAAGATAATACACTCCTATCACATACTCACAAACAGATCCTGCACACAAAGATGTCTTGAAAGAGCTGACAGGAAGTGGCCCAGCAAAACTGTTCTCTGACCTTTGTCAGTTTGGGTGGCAAGTGCCCCAGTGAGTTGCATTCTCTGACTTTGGCACTTCATGAAGATGATGAATCTCATGAATCTCAGGCTGATACCGTTTATAACAGCAGGTGATGAAATACATGTGTTCCCATCTCAAGCAAATGTTACTTTCTGTGACGGTCCATTGCCTCTTGAGCAAGGGTAAGCAAAGCCAGGAAAGCCACTGTGAATAGTCCATCTGCACCTAGAAGAGTGGGGAGTAGTTTCCAACTGTGAAACTGAAATGAAAAAAAATTAGGTTTAATAGCCTAAAGCTTCAGACCAAGAGAGTACCTGCCTCATTCAATAGCAGAAATGCTTGAGAGTTAAGATAAACTTTTGAGTAAAGGGTCAGCACAAGGAAAGAGAATCTCCAAAATCCCTCATTCTGGTCAGTGGACATTAATGAAATTGCACTGTTGGACCATTGTGTTTCTGTCAGTAAAACTGAAATGGTTCGTTTATGCAAAGAAGTCATCAGTAGTGTCTTTCTCTTCAGTTGAAGTCTCCATAGTTATCCTGAGCACTCTAGACTGTCTGCAAGGCCGTACCCTTATGGGGTCATGATTTTCACTATAAATGGCACATGGATGCACGATTCCCTGAGTGTGCAAAATCAAGGGAATCTATAAGACAAGCTGCACACATCCATGATGGTTGCTTGGGGTAGGATTGCATAGTTCTTTCAGTCAAACAACACAAGTAAGCTTCCTGATATCAGCATAAAACAATCTCTGTCCCTTTGGCAATCATTGTACTCTTGCACAATGTAGTAGATTCCTCAAAGCAGTGCTTTTCTCTGTGATGTCCTGTGGTCTCTAAGTCTGAGGGAGATAAGGAATAATCTGTGTATCAGCGAGCTGGAGAAGACAGAGGACACTAAGGCAAGTGACAGCTTTGTCTCTGGATCTAGCAGTAATGTCACTGTTTTACTGGAGCATTACTGAGTATTGATGCATATTGTCCTGTCAGAGGAGTGAGCCTTCAGATAAAAATCCTGACTTTCTGGTTCTGAAATAATTTTTGTCTTCCGTTAGCTTCCCTGGAACAGCTTCCCTGGTTTTGTCTTCCTTGGATATATAATAACACTCTATATGGAAAGATCATTCTCAGATCATTATTGGAAGCATATTTTTTGGAACTGGAATTTTATTTTGAAAGTGTATACAGGAGATGATAGCTCAGTGAAAATGCATGTTTCTGTTTTTCCAACAAATTGTCAATTTCAAAACAAGAATCACATTCATTGTAAAACATGTGAAATGTTTGCATTTTTGTTCAGTGATTTAGAGAAAGGACTGGAAACTAGGAAACCTAACCCTTGAATGTATCATTTTCCTAACCTCCGGCTTGAATTTTCAATGATTCTTAGTCTGCTGCTCACTGAGGTAGTCACTGAAAGTTGCCTGATAATGTGAAACCATTGCAGGGCGGAGGAACATGATAAGGGATGCATGTCAAGCAAGGATTTTCACAGGCAACATGCCTCCCACACCCAGAAGTCTTTCACTTGGCCTTATTGACCTGAAAAGGCTTCTACATTCTCCCAGAAATTAGTTGGTCTCTTAGTCTATCAGGTTTCCAAAGAGTTAAACATAATTCGGAATGTTGGTACATTAAAAACACGGATAAATGGGCTACCTTAATCAGAGTATTCTCAAAGCTTCATGCTTGCAGAGTGAGATAAGAGAGTCCAGGGAATGACAGGGAGAAAGGAAGGGAACAGATGCCTCAGTGTGCTCACAGATTCTGACTGGCTGTAAAGAACTGGGGTGCTGAAATGAAACTAATGTAATCTGTTTCTTACTGACTAGTCAAAGCAAACACTGCTGGCTTCCTGTGCTAATTCCCTGTTTCTTTCTTGCAGGTATCTCCACTCTTAGGAATGATAACAGGCACACTCATCTTGATATTTGTACCTGCTGCTAAAAGAGGAAATGTTGAACAACTTGGGGGACAGCTGAAGGCTCGGAGCTCATGGCTAAGAGACATGAAGGCACTGATTAGAAAGTAAGAACACTCTGCTAAAGCATGCTTTGCCTCTACTGCTTAATCTGAACATCACATGGCCTGTACTTCTTAACACTGTGAGCCTGGAAAATGGCAACTTGCAAGAAATTGCAGAAAATTTGATCTGTTGGCCTAGAATGAAAAATTAAAGTTACATTTTCACTAGATGTTGACTGTGCTGACAAAGGTGGATTCCAGCTTTTGCTGTAAATTTCTAAGATTCACATCTTAGAGTCTGCTTTGTTTGGCTCATCTTTCAGTCTGAGTAAGGCTTTTGAAGTATAGAAATTGCTGTGTTCCTGTAGCAGTTGTAGTGCCACTGCTGTTCAAATGTTTAGATTCTTTTTATTCTTTGAAAGAGCTACTCTGCCATGTGAAAAAAGAAAGTTCAATGCCAAAACAGCTTAATGGGAGAAAATACACAAAAGCTTGTACTAACTGGCAAGTTTAAATATGTATGTTTACATAACCAAATGTGACTGAATATATGTGCACACAATGTGGTTGGGTGCTTGTATATTTGCATAAAAGCTAACACACTTATGAACATTTAAGTAGCTGCCCTTGCTTTCAGAATGCTTGCTGTTAATGTGCAAATACTTGCATGCATGAATTCAGAGTTACATTGGAATTCTGGTGGGTCTTTCATTTTTCTTAGAACTGCTGGCTATGATATCTTCCTGATATTGCCAGACAGTGTAAAAGGACTATGAAAAGTGATAATGGTTAATTTATCAATATTTCTATATTACTTGTTTTGGTGGTTTATCCAAGAAGTAATCTTAAATAACATGAATGGGGAGGGAGCGATGGAGCTTATAGTTCAAGGAGACAGTGATGTTATGGTGATAGCCCTGTATTTCTCACATCATGTCTTAGTGATTAAGTACTGGTCTTCTCTGAAAGGGTCCCCTGAAAAGTGGTCCCTTTGAAGCACCCCTGAAGAGTTAAACACGTTATTATCAATAGAACATGATGTATGAGTTCCCTGCCTCTTATTCACCATTCTTTCATACCTCATTTTAACTCTATCTCTTGGCAGAGGTGAGTACTAATGGGGGAACTCTGTGTTTTGTCACAGTGGCACACTTTCCTGGTGCCCTCCCTCTTTCAGTTTTCCTTCTAAACCTTCTCTTGGTTTTGCCTCATGTCTCCACAGCCGCAGCTATGTGTTCTCATCATTGGCCACCTCAGCTGTTTCCTTTGCCACTGGGGCACTTGGCATGTGGATCCCTCTCTACCTTCACAGAGCACAAGTTGTGCAGAAGACAGCAGAGACTTGCAGCTCGCAGCCCTGTGGCACCAAAGATAGGTGAGATTCATATACACTGTTTTAAAAAGGAAGGAGAGAGAGTGGGGGCTTATTTACCAGAGGAAATAGGCAATTCTCATGGAGTCAAGTTACTAGAATGTCTGTAATTTCCTGTAGATCCTTGCAACAATGATAGGAAATGCTGGGTTTGTAAACTGAGTTTTATTTCTCTCCTTTTCTTCATTGCATGAAGTCATGAAGTCGAACCAAAGGAGAAGTGATGACCTCAGCTCAGTCTTAGTTCCCAGACTATAGTACAGAAGTAGAAAAGACAGCTGTTTTTGGCTTAGGAGATGGATGGAGGACTGAGAGGAGGAGGTTTCTTAACACCCACAGTGTTTTCTGGAATAGCAGCAGAATCAGTTGGCAGGTTGGGGTAGCCAGAGTGGTGGCTATAATTCAAGACTTGATCTGGTTCCCTTAAAAGCTGCAGGAACTGACCCTAAAGATTTTTATTCCAGTGGGAGGGAAGACCTCACTGTGTTTCATTGCTCTGTATACTACTGAGTAAGCTGAATTTTGCTGAAGTGTGATGCAAAGATCTGGGACGCTTTGGTCTGGATTGCTTGATGTTACCCAGTGGTGTTTTTTCAGTCCCAGTTATATAACATAGCTTACAGTGCATAAGCTGTGAAAAGTAATTCATTGTTTTGTGCCTTACAATGGTAGCACAAAACATAAAGCCCTAAAAAAGTTTTTACCCTAGTGAATAAAAGATATGAAAAATTGCCTTTTGCCAGCTCTTTTAAAATTGGGAGGGAAAAATAATGTTAGGAAAACCTTGCTCTAGATGACACAATCCCATCACAAGTAAACTGCTTAATAGTTTGAAGTACCATTGAGTAGTGCACCCAGCAGGCAGCCTAACTGTATTCTGAAAAATGCAGTGAGCAGAAAATACAGCTCCAGTCAGACTGCCCATCTGCTGTTTACAAAGACAAGTTTTCCACTTCTTGATGACACCTATATTTTGAGCTACCCTGGAGCTACTTCAATGTAATTGCCAAAGACTCTGTTATCTGAGTCATACACATACAATACAGCGAATCCTTGACAGCTACTGCTCTTAAATTCAAATAAACACATTTTGTGTGTGTATTATAAAGGCAGATTAATCTAATCAGCCTTCTTTGAAGTAGACTGAAAGATGTTAGAAAGTTGAAGTATGTTGAAAGTCACTGTTGTTAGGTTTCTTGTTAGGATTCTGTTCCCTTAAGCTTCCCACTGTCTACTCTGTCCATGCTTTCCCATACATGATCAACGTTCATGTTATTGCTCCATTTTGTTTGTTCATAATTAGCAGTACAAAGTACTTCATAGGGAACTATAAAGAAAGAAGCAGTATGAGCCCTATGCATCTGTGTGTTGATCAATGCCTTTATACAAGGCTGAATTTCATCTGCTGTTTCCTGTAATTTCAGAAAAGGTGCTGAAATCACCAGCCCTCAGGAGGTAGCTCATTTATTTTATCTTAAACTTAAACAATGTCCAGATTTCCATCAGTCAGTTTACCTAATAATCTGTTCATAGATCATCTCCATTTGGGGGGGAAAATATTTAGAAAATAACTACTTTTTGTTTTGTTTTGTTTCATAGCTTGATCTTCGGAGCAATCACATGCTTCACTGGTTTCCTGGGTGTAATCACAGGGGCTGGGGCAACCAAATGGTGTCGGTTAAAAACCCAGCGAGCTGATCCTCTTGTCTGTGCTGTTGGCATGCTAGGATCAGCCATCTTCATCTGTCTGATCTTTGTCGCTGCCAAGAGCAGCATTGTGGGAGCCTATGTAAGTATAATCCTTTGCATATGCCAGTCTCATTCTTATTCTTTCAACCAAACACCTTAGGTTGTGTGCATTGTTCCCTGCAGGAGTACTGAGAAGCCAATCTTGTTATTCCCAATCTTAATGTTCTTCATTTTGCCCCTTGGCATATTGGTGCTATCTACGATGTGCTTGGGAGGAAAATGGAATTTCATCCCATTCACTAACTGTTATCAGAATTTAGAACAGGGCATTTAACTCCTGCATGGAAATCCACTGCTCTGTGCCTTTGGGCTCTTATAGCTGTACCTCTATCCATACCTCAATTGTTCTTGCCTAATATTTCAGTACAGAAAAAATTGGCAGCTTCCCTTACAATTAAGGGTATTGTAGCAGCAGTGATATCAAATCATGATTACAGTATGACTTGTCTGTGGGCAAGCTTTTGGCTACCTGTAAGTACCATTAATTTCCATAGCTAAATAGCTTGCTACAGACCAACAGTAATTACAATGTTAGTTCGATTTGTTGTTATCTGTATTAGCATAGCACCTGAAACTCCTCATCGCAGCCCAGGAGCACACAATACTTGCTGCTGCAGAAATGCAGATTAAAGAAATGTTTACTCCCAGAGTATTTATAATCTAAGTATATAAAAAGATATCAGATTGATTCAGAGAAATGTTGTGAAGGGAAAAGGAAAAATTCAGGATAATGTATGATAATACGAAGAGTAGAGATCCAATCTCAGGTTCTCTTTCAGTGTTGTAGGGAGAAGCTTTGTAAGTTTTGAAGGGACAGCCTGAGATGATTTGAGAAGTGGGATAATTTCTGAAAGTCCACCTCTAGTTTCCACACAATAGTGCATACTTCACCAAGCAATGAGAAGTCATTTACAGTCAAACAAACCATCTACTGCAATTCCTTGCCTCTCTATTTCTAGCTCTAGTGCAGCCTTAGTTATTTTCCAGGTATTTCAGTAGTTGCCATAAACGAGAACACAAGAAGAAAGAATGGAAATTTAAAAACATTAAGGCGGAACCAAGAATGCTTACTCTGGCTATTTAGAAAGTGTCAGAAGGACATTCTGGACCTGTAGTTCATGACTAGAACTAACTTTTGATCCAGTGATTAGCAGAAAAATGACCATCACAGACAACATGTAAAGGCTGTTACTGGCTGGCAAAACATCAGCCAGCCCTCCTTTCATTCTCAGCTGTCTCCAAAAGAAGAGATCTGTCAGAACCTTCAGCCTGCCCCTCCCCTCTGCCTCTCTGTAGTCAGACCTGTGATTTTCTTCATTGTCAGACCTGATGACAGACATGTTCATTTGCAGTGTTTAGTCTCTTTATGTAGAAAGTCCTCCCTGTTTTAAGCTGGAAATACTGTTTTCAAAAAGCACGCAATGAAAGGTGGTTATTGGTCTCATTTTTTATTAGTATTTTTTTATCTCTAGACAGCAGCTTTTCAGCTTCCATATTTCAATGTGGAAATATTCTGCATCCTGTAAATATATAAATGTAGATGGTATTATTTAGCCAGTCTTAGAAACAATTTATTTTATGATGCATGAGCAGTAAATCTAATAAAGAGTCAATGATGTGCAGAGGAAGTAATGCCTGCATGTAGCAGGATCACAAAGAATATAAGCCTATTTGCTGATGCTGTTAGGCTGATACACACATTTGATGCAGGTAACACTGCCTCTCTGCAGCCCTTAATATTCTTTCTCTGCTGCTGGAAAAGTAATGCTTGTATAACAGTTAAGAGAGTCTAGTTAAAGCACCAAATGGGGAATTGAGATCTCAACTCTATAAATTCTGTATGTGACACTGGACATGGTATTTGATTTTATTTTGCCTTTTCATTCCATTCTTCACCCCACTCAGAGAGCAGGTCTGTTTTGGAGCTACCAATGTCTTGTAACACAAGGTATTACCATGGCTGTGCTATATATCAGCTGAAGTGACTTTTCAAAGCAAGATTCAAACACGAGCCCTTGTTTTTCCTTGCTGTGCAATGCTGTTATGATCTTACAGACTTCAAGACTGTTTAATTACATTCTATTTCACTTGGAGACCTTTCTGCAGAGTTGTGTGGTGTAGCAGTGTCTCTGCAGTACTGTGGAGCAAGTTGTCAGTCTTCTTAACTCATCCAGTCTTTTCATATTAGTCTAGTAAACTATTGGCAGTAGTAGAGTGCTTGGAGTAGAACAACATTCTGTATCATTTAGCTGCCCAGACATTTGTCTTTCTATCTTTTACTATCTTTGCTGTATAGTCCGATCAGTTTTTACTGTTTTCCTTGCAGCATGTGTATTTATGTGTTGTATTCCAGCTCCCTAAAACAGCTATTTGTAAATTTTTAGGTCTCACTCTGAAATACATACTCCTTGAAATGTTGATTTTCGAACCTCTCCCTTGAAAGCCATTAGCTGTGTGGCATCACTGTATCACACTACTCAGATATTTCAACGGTCTTTTTTACACTGTTTTAAATCTCTGAGTGATTAGAGAGGGATGTTCTGCCTTCCTTTGACATCGTTCCAACTTTCTGTTGTACCTCAATTTCAGTATCTTTCTCAATTCCACAAAGTCATTTCACAGTCTGTCAGAGACATCTGCCAAGCTAAGTCCTTGCAGTAGAGCTTTTAGAGCATCAACTCCAGGGAGCTTTCTCTTGACATGGTGACTTATCTTCTTCCGACACATCTATATTGCCCAGTGATGAGATGGAGCTTGCTTCAAATTCAGAAGTACACAAGGACTTTCTACCCACCATTTCAAGAAGAAATTCAAATAGTGAAGATGGAGACAGATGCATGCTTTGCAAATAGCCATGGAGGGAGTTTCTAACCTACTTCAGTCTTGCTGCAAGAACTGCTGGTGTGACAGCTCTGAAACCAACTTTACTTATCATTTTTTGAAATCAGGATTTGCTAACTCTGATCACATACACAGAAAGACTCCAGGGAGACTGAACTTACATTGGTTCATCAAAGATGAACAACTGCACACCAAATGGAGATGGTGAGAGATGATACAACAGAGCTGGACTCAGAAAAGGATGTATCTCTCAAGCCAATATCTCAGTGGTAAAAGAGAGTTCTAAAAGCGTGTAAGGAGTCAATTTCAGGTGACAATTTCAGGAGTTACTGATCTGTTCTGGAGGCTGTCCTATTTGCAGTAAGCATTCCTAAAGCCTTTCTTCAGCAGAAATGCCACATATCCCTCTTTGCAATGGGTGAACTCATTTTTACAAACCCTCATTAGCAGCTGGCTTTTTTTTAGTGTCACTATCTTTTCTCCTACTTTTTGATCTTCATTTTGTTCCTCTTTTTCTTTAATCCACAGGAGATGTGTTTCACAGGAACATGTTGGGTGAAATATACATTGAATAATTCAAGTCCGTTGCTCTGAAATTTATAACATTGCAGTGATTCATAAGACTCATGCTGAATTCCTGCAGAAGGGAGAAGTTTTATTTGCTGTGTGTAACAGTTACTGTGTGTGTGTGTGTTACTTATATCATCTTAAGGCAAGCAGTTGCCTGTTTCCAATATTTTTTGAACAGGCAGGGCATATTCATGCCAGAATTGAGATAGCGTCTTTCTCAAGCTCAATTTAATCTATCCAGTTGCAGAATTCCAGCAACAGTAGCTGCAGAGCTGCGAGAGGGCAGATTTTGGTGCAGGTCAAGAGAGCTCATCTGGAGAACTCCTATGCCCTTCCTACATAGCACATAGCTTCAGTTTCTGTCAGTACCTCATTCATGGGATCTGTCTTCCTTAGCTCAGCAGCTGTAATTCCCAGTGAGAACCTTTCAGAGCACACCAGTGAGTAGTGGGAAAATGGAAAGAGAAGATTTCCTAGCTCACCAGCTGGACTGTAAAGACTGGCTCCGGCACCATCACAGAGGAAACAGATCCAGTCACAGTAAGAGGGAATAGGAAGGGGGGATGTATGGGAAACAAAAATAATTTTAGAAACAAATAGAGGAAGCTTGCTGTAGGTGAATGCGTAAGTCGTTCTATATAAAGCAAACTGTTCCTGGCAGTGACATGAGGGATGGAGGGGTTTAGGTAAGCTTAACTGGTGGGGGAGAAAAGCAATTGCTGTAGTCACATTGAAACCGTATCTTCCTCTTCCCAGCCCAGACTGCTCCTGTGGAAGCAACAGGGTGCAAGTAACTGGGAGTGGCAGAGCCTGGCAAAGCTCACAGGACAGCCACAAAATGGTACACATCTGAATGCTTTCATCAGAGCTGTACTGTGTATTTTGTTCCATTGATGTGTTGCACCATGTTCAACGGAACATAAGGCTGTTAAAAGGGGAACTTTCAGTAACCCAAATCCAAACCTCCATAGCTGTTAATCTCCAGTTCCCAGTAGGGGTTCCAGGTGTAGTGTTTTCTCTCTGGATGCTCCCCCCTCACCTTTCTCCCCCAGTAAAGTGCCTGTGTGTGTTAGCTGGGCAGAAACAGCCTTTGGAGGAGATGTGGTAAAGGGTTTTGATTGCTTTCTTCATGGATAGGGTCAAGGGAGCTGGTTCTTGTGAGTCTGATTGTTTAAGTTGTGTTTCATCTGTGTGTTCTCCTCTTCAGAATATATAAAGATGGAAACATTGTGTGTGGAAGATTTTACTTCCTTGTCTGTTGAACTTACTTTTCTTTGTTAAATTGTTATAACATAAAAACAAAAGATTCATGATTCAAATGTGGGGATAAAACTTTTTGATGGGGTCTGTTTCACTTGAAGCCATGTCACCTTTGTTCCACTGAACTCAGTTTGCTGAACATATATTTTAATGTTGAGGCCAGGTTAAATTTGTTTCTCCTGATGATGATCACTTCCAGTTCTTCACCTGCTGTAACTGTTTGCAGAACCATTTAGTAAACTGCATCACTGATTTATTCAAAGCCCCTCTTCTTCTATCTCCCCTATGGCAAATAGATTCTTTACCCCATCTGTTTCTGATCTCAATCCCTGCGTGGCTTTGTTGTGCACAACAGAAAAGGCTGTTTGAGGATGGCAGTAAGTGAGGAACGGGTGCTGGAGGTGCATGGGATATGTGGTGATTGTTTATACCACACCAGCTCAAAAGAAGCTCTCATCTCACTATCTGCTTAGACTTTCAGTGTAGCTTGTTGACTCTCTCCACAGCATCAAGAATTGCAGTTCACTGTGATACACTGATGTTGCAAACTCCATACCTAACATAAAGCTTAAGTTGTTAGAGTGGCTAGACTTAAGTTCCCCTTCAAAAAGGGCAACAATATGCTAGCAGGAGAGGGTGGGAACCCAGCAGTCAGTGGGCAGAGAATCTCATTTAGTTTGCTACGCAGTTTAACACATACCTTGATGAAAATGACTATTTTGAGCAGCTGTGGATTTTTTGTCTTTTCTAACTGGCTTTTTGAATGATTTAAATGTGGAAGTCCAGGGCTGTCTCTTATGGTTGGCTTGTCATGTTCATCTGTTACCAGAGGTATCTGTCTTTTATTTATCTGTTCTAGAGATCATAAACAGTTGACACTAATGAAGTTACAGGCCAGCCCTCTCAGGGCTCAAATAAACATCTGTAGATTTCTGACACTCAGGATAAACCACAACAGTAACCAGAAGTGTATCATATACAGAAGAATCCTTTGAGTAGGTTTCAGACAAATAAGCAACAAAGGGAAGTTTGTGACAGGTTATTTTTCCCTTAAATGTCAAGTGAATAAATCTTCTTCTTTTTGTGTGTTTTGTTACAACAGATTTGCATTTTTATCGGAGAAACTCTTCTGTTTTCAAACTGGGCTATCACAGCAGACATACTAATGGTGAGTGCACTTTGGAATAGCATCCTTCTCTTCTGTGAGCCAGAGCACTTTGTCACCTTGCAAGAACAACCTGTAGTTTAAATCTTCTTCCAAATGCCGAGTCCCTAGTTCAACCTGTTCTGTTTTGCTTTGTTTGTTTATTTTCTGAAAAATAAATGGAGAGAAAGATAAAGCATTTCTTCTTTTGCTTTGTTCTGAGTACTAAGGTGAGGCATTGTCCAAAAAAGGACACCATTACTGGATTCAACTAGTTTCCCCAAATTGTAAGAATTTGCACAAAACTGTTCATTAAAGAATTCAGCCAGCATTTCCTAATAGTCAGCACATTAGTGAATTTATTATCAATAATCCAGCTTTGTTCTGTAATAGGAAATCCTTCCCTCCCTCCCTCCTCTGACCACAAAGACAGCCAGCTACCTGTCTCTATGGCTCAGTTCCAGCAAACATACCATTCAACACACACACAATAGAAAACCACCTCTGGGAGAGGAGAGGAAAAGAAAGTATAAGAGCTTTTGGACGATGTCCACCTTGTTCTATAGGAAACTGGGATTTTTCACCTCACATCCTTCATTTTCCATTCTCTCTCCACTACAGAGCTTTAAAAATCTTTCAAATCAGCAGGCTGATCTCAGCAAGTAGATGTTCATATGAAATAGTCTGGAAGACTGTTAGAGAGCCTTGCACGTTTCTTGATGTTTCCATCAGGGACGTACAGAGCTTTTCAAATGTGTTGTACTTTGAAATCCTATTGTGAGGGAAGTTCCTTGTTGCTTATTGTATGAAAAAGAAAGAAACTAGGTCACAGAACCATTACAGGACTTGCCCAAGGCCTTTTGGCAGGTTGTTGACAATGCTAGAAACACAATCTGTCTGGCATCAATAGAAAATCCCTTGACTTGTGCTTGTTGCTTATGCAAACATCAACAAGAAAACAATCTGGCTCAGAATTTCTAGAAGTAAAAGATACTGGTGTTGATATACTGATTCAGCAGAGCTCCAAGCATTATGATTTAAGTTCAAGGTTGTGTTTATGTTTTAAGGTGGCTCTGTAGTTGCCATATTTTTGTAGTTGGATGAACTTTCAGTCTTAAACTGCTTTGTTCAGAGAACATTTTATGAGGTAGGGCCGTATGGTTAATGCCACGTCTCTTAAGTGTGAGTGAGGCACAGAGAAGTAAAGGTTACCAGTGTACTTCAGTAGTGTTAGATGGCTTTGTATTGCTCAGGTTTGTACCTCCTACCAATTTAGCTTTAGCATACTAGAGCTTGTCATAGGCTGTTCATTCTGTGCTTACATGAGTGCTTACATCAGCTTGTGCTGATTTCAAGGCTGATGCTGCCATTCACTCAGTGATACCTTAACATTTAGACAGATGTGCAGTCTATGGACAGCTGTATTGAGGAAGTTGTAGTACAATACTTGTAGTTGCTCACCACTGCCTCCTGTCACATCCTGTCTTCTGCAGTGATATTTGCAGGAGCTCCCAAATCTTCCTAGTCAAAATGAGCAGATCTTTTATATCCTGTGTAGCAGTGGCTGAAACAGGTAAGGGCCTGGCCAGGGAACACATCTGCCACCCTCCAGCAGTGGCTGTAAAAGAGCAACTCAGGCAATAAGCTGAGAGAGAACTGAAACTTTATCTTGCTATCTCAAGTTAACCCCAAAAGACATTTTTGTCCCAAACACTTCTTTATGTGCTAAGGATGCTATTGTTATTCCGTTTTAATTACTGAGCTTTTCCATGTTGATTTCAATGTGACTGCAGTACCCTGTTACTTTTTAATAACTGTCACAGGCTTTGCCATCTGTTCTGTATGAGCAGCACCAAATAGTGAACTGCATTTTGCAGAGATGCATTTGTGGTTATATATATTGCTCTAGTGCACACAAGCAAACAACAAACAACTATAGAATCTACTGGAAATAATTGGAAAAATATTCTTATTTCCAATTCTGCAAACACAGGAAGTAAGCTAAAAGCACATTAAAATTCAGATGTTGATAACTGATCCCAGCTCATAAGCTAGCTAATTTCTTGCCTTTTCAGACAAATGAACTGAGTGTCATATATAATGCCCAGCTTAATACATTATCAGCATGAGTGGAATGGTAAAAGTGCTATACAAATAAATGTGAACATCCACTTAGATCAGTACAAGCCTGTAAACAGATGGCCTGAAGTACATTTATATTACACAAGGGGTTTGAGAACATTTTTAGTGAGGCAACAGGTGAGAGCCAGGGCTAGAGCCTTGTTTGACAGCTCTTTAAGAAGCCTTTGCCAGAGAAATGTGTGGATATGTTTCAGTGAGATACACTTTAAGTGTTTTGCAAATTAATTTATACTGATTACTGTTTATTTGGTGTAATCAGATGAGTATTTCTTCTTGCCCAAGGCTGGTAAGGAATTTTAAAGTATTATTAGTGTAAGCCTAACAACACTTTTATCATATACAAAAATATGATCCTATTTTCATGGATAAAAAGCTTTCAATTCTGGCTGATTTCAGTGACAGCAGGCTTATGCCAAAAGTGAGGCTTTTGAAAACTTCATCCCAAATGATTGTCACAGTTCTCCAAAGATTTGCACATCTCATGACTGCTTATGAACCCTATCTGGCAAGTTGGTAAGCAGCTTCAGAGGTTTTGCAATTTTGATTTCCTTTGCAAAAACCAGAATGTTGGCTCATTATCTTCAAATTTTCAGCTCTTCATAGCTTTGTGCTTTCATTGCTCTTCTGTTCTTGGTACTGTAGCTGCCTGCATGCAGTTTCTCAAACCGACTGCAGTAAAAGGTGCAGAGAGCTGGGTGTGATCAACTGTCAGCACTGCAGAATGTACTGCACCACCTTTTGTTCTGCCTAGCATCCCTTTATATTAAAGACAATTATTAATATGCTATAAAATACTGTGTATTTTTACAGCTGACAAAGCAGCATTTCCAGAAGTTTTCATTGCTTCTCTCAGTGTGCTTCACACATCAGTAATCTGTGAGTGCAATAATTTACGTTTTAGGGCAGGGTGAGAAATGCTTATGAGTGAAGGCACACAGCCCACAAGACACCGCAGCCCAGCTCAGAGCAGGACAGCAGAATTTACCTCTTTAGCACATGGCCTTCTACTGGCAAAAGAGTGATCTCTCTGTCTTTCCTACTATACTTATTTCAGACCAATTAGTTCTGTTGGTTTCACTACAGGAAGGGAATGTCCACAGTAAACCATGGCCTTTCTGAACCTCTATTTCTGGAAGGGAGGTTTGCTGGAGCTGCTTGGTCAGCCTTCCTGCCCACCCTGTGTGTTGCCTGCATTGGAGCCTGGAGTCAGAGATGAGCCAGGGCAATCCCACAGACATCCACCAAGTCTGCTGTGGCTCTCCCACCTCCAGTTTCTGTGGGATACTCAAACCATGCTGTGGATGGCTTGAATTTAAGTCTATTTTAGCCTCAATATGCCCATTTAGAACTGTAATTTACTGCTGTCTTTTTAGAACAGTAGCTTATGTTTGCTGCTAACTGCTTCCCATCTGAATAAAATGCTTTTAAAGCAAGGATAGGGTGGAGTACTTTTTAGAGATGTTTTAGAGTTGCTGGTTTAAGTCTTATTTTCTATCCAACGTCTTTTTAGAGGAGGAGGAAATATCTCTTGTCCATTTGCTTGCTGTACATTGGGGTGGAGTTTTTTGGTTGCTTTTGTTTGGTTTTCAGCATTTGAATTCTGGGCTAAATTTACTACTTTTGGCAGTTTATAAACTGTATTGATGGTTTCAACCATCATTAACTTCTTTAACTAGGCAAAGTGAAAACTTGTTGTAAATTGTTCTGCTGCTTGCAAAATTATTTATACATACTACAGATGCACATGCAGAATTGTGTATAATTGTGTGTGTCTGTTTATGTGTACAAATATATACGTACACACATATGATGCAGCTGTCATTCAAATTTCTTTCTCAGTTGGCACGAATTCACTGCCACTTGTTTGAAATGGTAAGTTTTGAATACATTTGTGATTTCCTTAGTCATTTTGCTAAGAAAATTGATACAATACAGAGCCAGGCAAGCCTTCTTCTCCAAATCACACTGTTTCAATGATCTACACAGCTCGAGCCTCTTGAATTAGGTAGAGTATCACTTGATTTTCTCAAACACCTTTTTCTCAAACAACTGTCAGAATGCTTCTCCTCTGCACCTGTGTGACATGGGCCCAGGTGGGAAGAGCAGTTACTCACTATTTTTATCTTCTTTTGTCTCATGGCTCCAGGTTGCACCCATTACCTTAGGTCTTTGGGGAGCGGTAATGAATTGCGTGGCTCTCCTCCTCTTTCACAGTGTGACCTTCAGTATGTTCCTGTGCCTCTAATGAAGTCTAGCCCTTATTTTCCTCTTGGGATAGCTGTGAGCCTTCGAGGCTGTTTTGAGCTCTTTGATGCAGAAGGAGGACAGTACCTAACATCCGTAGCCAGCTGGCTGCTGTGGATCTGATCATTTGCTCATCTGTTGCACCACAGGATTTTAACAGGGTATCCATTGGATGTGTGGTGTCAGAGCACATCAGCAGCATGCATTCACAGCTTTGTCAAACCAGTAACAGAAGAACTGGCAGATCATTGTCAAAGCACATGCGTAATACCCTAAGCAGAAGCATTTAATCTAATTTTACTCATCATTCCTGATTGTCTGTGCTTGGTAGAAGGTGATCATTATAAAGAGGCATGAATCCTTTTCTGCTGTGAGTTTTCTGTATGCTGTTTCTTTCCCTTTGTTATGGTTAGCTCTTTCTACTGCAGGCAGAGCCTGCAGACCTTCTCTGAGAGGGTGTGATGAGCACTGAAGCAGTGCTTCAAATTCTGTGCCCTGAGATACATCACTGTGAAGCAATTAGTTCTCCCTAACAAGACAGATAAGGTAAATTCATCTCCACATCTCTAGCCGGAGACATGCCAGTGCTGCAATGCCAATTTAATTAATAAATGATTTCAGGAATACATTGCAAGAATTGACTGAAGTCTTGGAAGGCAGGACTTCTGAAAAAAAGCTAGAGGCAGTCTATCAAGAGAAAGTGGAGAAGTAAAAGGGATCGTGGTGAACAAATACGTAAACCAGAGTCCTTTCTGGTAGGGCAGAGAGCTCTCCAAAAAGAGGAAAACAGAAGACAGAACAGGATTCAGTGCTTGGAAATGGAAACAAAGCTCGCTTGGATTTAGGAACTTTGTGAATTCTTTCTTGCTTTCAGCTTTTAGATCAAGACAGCATCAATTTCTGAAGTAGGAGATGTGAACATGATGCATTTGTTCTTAGCCAGCTTCTTTCACAGGTTTTCTGCAGGAGACAATTATTTTAATTCTGAATTTATGGTATAAAACAAAGACCCTTCGACAGAACCAGTGTTTGTTGTTCTATTTTCTTTTGGTTTTGCTTTTTAATCTTTAATTCCCTTCTATGGTTAGATCTCTGTTTTCTGCAAGCTCTGATCCCTTAGTGGGAAATAATTAATGTTTTTTGCTGATCCTGCATAGTCAGAGTGATATTGCGTGACCTGGCTGAGGGTGTAATGTCCTGTTAGAGAACTGGAGGCCAAGCTATAATATCCTGGCTCTGTGAAATTTCCCTAATGTGTCTTCGTAACCTTTCAGAAGTGTAATCCCATATTTTTGAGGGGGAAAGAAAAAGCTGCCAGAGATGGAATGGGAGGTGAGGATGCATGACCTTTCATAGGAAACCAAAGGATATGTTGATTATGGAAAGAACACAGTATCCAAGGTTACAGCAAAGTCCTTGTTAGGAAGGCTGGTGGTGCTGAGCAGGTTATTTGCTGCAGGCATCCTTGGGGTTCTTTCTCCCCATCAGACAAGCCAAAATACAGGCAAAGGTGCAATAGCAAAGTGCCTCATGGGTGATGTATCAAAATCCTTTGGAGCCTGAATTGTCAGGCAAATCAGTGCATTCAGTGCAGTTGAAAGCAAGGAGTAAAGACCAGACAGAGCTGCCTTTCCTGGACACCTGCTGTCAGGATGGCTAGAAAGCCAAGAGGAGTAGCAGAGCAATTGAACTCTACTGGAGTTTGTTTGCTCTGTCCTAGATGTTAATTAAGCAGGACAAGAGAGCTGAACAGGTTCTTCAGTTCCGTTTCCTTATGTTTTTTTTTTCTATTTCCTTCTTTGCAGTATGTGGTCATCCCAACACGCCGTGCAACCGCAGTGGCCTTGCAGAGTTTCACTTCGCACCTTCTGGGAGATGCTGGCAGTCCTTATCTGATTGGATTTGTAAGTGCTCACACTGGTTTTTGGTGGTATTGTGCATCCATGTTTAGTTTTGCTTACTAACTGTTTATCTAACATGAGAGGTTAAATGTGCTAGGGAAGGAAGGCCTGTATTTATCAGCAGAATGGGAAGTGGAGCAGTGCAGTGCAACTTTTGTATCTGCTTTTGTTATCTGTGGGCTATAGTTCAAACTGGGGAGGACTACTTGTGCACAGGAAGCGAGCTTCCAAATCTGTTCAGCCTAGGGCACTCAGAGTGAATTTAAAGGGAAATTGGTTGCTTCTGTGGTATGGACAAAGGTCTTTAGAAATCAGATTGGAACAGTTGTATTTTAATTGTCTTTTAAGGCAAGTTTCTACTTATGGGTAGCAACCTGGAGTTGTTCTGACCCACTGATATTTTAAACCCATTGTGTATGATAATAAAGGATGGTGCAGAATCTATGGCAGGATGTATATGTATATGGAGGATTCTTGGTATTCCTCTCTAGTGTGCATATTTTGTTTTTAATTAGTTGCATTCTTTTCTGTTACTGCTGCTGTTGTTGGCATTGGTTTGACTCAAAACCTCTCTTATGAGACCATTACCTAATGCAGAGAGAAACAAAAGACCCTGCTCCAAAAGCTGGCAATTGGAGAACATTCCTAGCTGAAAGTATAGGGCTTGGGAAATCTAATGAGGAAAAGAAATTTAGATATACTGGAGTAATTCCTTTCCCTTGCTCCCTTCTGTTGTGTTTAATGCAATGAGTTGCAGAGAATACAGATCATCATTTATAAAATATAGCAGCTTCCTTGTAAAGTCTTAAGTGGCACTGCTGATGTTGTGTTGAAGGTGCTACAGTTTTCCAGTGAGGTAACTGGAGTCTTAGTTTCATCATTGGAGAAAGAGCTCAGATGTGCTCTTCCAGCTTTCTGCTGTAGAACTTACTTTTTATTTTTAACCACCATCTCTATTCTACTAATCCCCAGACATTGGTGAGTGTATACAATCATATTTATTTGTATTTTATAGATATATATAATATTTACTCTAGAATGCCAGTTCTCAAAACCAATATAGTTGCTCTACAGCCCTCTGAAGCTTACACGAACATACAAATATATATAAGGCTGAATGGATCAAAGGAATGAGAACTACCTCAAGAGAATAAATAAATACAATTTGTCTTAGTCTTTATTTACTTCAATATTCTGGGCACCCCAGGAGAAATGATCTTATTTTAGAATGTATTTGAAAGTCACAAGAACAAATGAATCATTGGGAGATTTGGCTCTGTGCAGGCAGACAGCATAGGAGAATGGCAGGAGAGGAAATGGAGTGGAGAGTGCTGCATGCATGGGGACCAGCAGTGGTGAGGGGAAGGGTCTGAGATGCACTGAGGCTCCCAGGTGACTGCTGCGTGTTCGTTCTTTTTATTGCATAAGAGACACATCCAGGAGGAGTGGTGAGGACTGGGAATGATTGCAATTAATCTTGAAAGTTGCCTAGGGCTCTTTGGTGTCACAGATAGAAAAGGACTTTGGCTGTAGAAGGAACGCATCTTGCCCTTCTGGTATTCAGAGAGCAAGCAAGTTGTGATTTACTTAAGGATGCCTACTGAAATATGCTTAAACCCAATTTAATGGCTGCCTTGGGCTGCCTTTAGACTTGGAAAATATTAATTATGATTTTGAATTACTCTTTTCTAAAGCTGTAGTTATTGGGCAGTTCTTGCCTGGAAGGAGGGTACCCAAGTGCAAGCTTTCTTGGCAGGGAGCAGGTGGGAAGTGCTCATGTCACAGAAGGCACCAGCATCCATTTCTGTGGCTCTGGAAGGCTTGGCTGACTCATGCTCCCTGTACTACTTGGACTGAAAGGTCAGCTGGAGCTTTCCAATACCACAGAAAATTCAGCCTCCTCATCACTCAGAGTGCATCTGAGATCCTCAAGGTCTGCCATTTCTTCTGACTGCTTACAAATCCCACTTGCAGCTCTTCCACTCAACAAGCAGTGTTTGGATCCAAATATGGCTGAAATCTTACAGAGTACTGGGGAGTTCACAGTGAAATTCCTTCCAGCAGTGCTCTTAGTAAGGAACTGGATACCCATGTCCTTGAACAACTAAGCTGTGTCAGCCAGTTGTCTGTGTTTGCTGGGTACCAATAAAAGTCCTATTGATCTTATAATCCTCATGTAGAGCATTGAAGGTACTTAACAGCTGCAGGCCTACATCTGTGATTGCTCCCTTGCTCTGTATCATGCCATAAAAGTTGAAGGTCAGACTCAGGTTTTTCTATAATCTCCCACGCTTCCAAATCTTGCTGTATAGCTGCATCTGATAATTGCTTTGTGTTTTGGCAGCTTCTTATAATCACCAAAAATGCCAGATATATGTTAGTGTTTAAAGCTAGATGGAAGAAAGTGAATATGTGTGTCTGTTTTTCATGTCTTTAAATATCAATAACCTTTCTTATGCTAAAAAGTATTAAGGTTTTCTTACAAAGCAGCTATGCAAATACAGTTTTAGGGTAGCAGCTGTAATTTGCAAAGGTTTTCCTGCCTGCTAAGCACTGAGATCAATTACTATAAATCAGTGCTGCCTCTCCATTCACAAATAAGAATAGGCACTGCTGCAGTATTTCATTAGATGTAGTAATTTTCATTCCTAGATATCTGTAACTTTCTTAGGACCTTTATGATAATCTGCAGAATGTAAGTAATTTCCATTTAATGGCTTGGGGTATAACTCTGTACTTTGTTCTTGAGGTAATTTCAGCTTTCTGCACATTAGACCTCTGTATCTTAGGGCTTTTTCTTTCCTTCCTCAATGTGTGTCAAGCACTGTCCAGCAGTGCTTTCCTCATCCAGGCTTGCCTTGCTTCTAGCCTCGCTGTACTTAGAAGCAGGCACCTACTGCAGGCTTTGCTCTCTCTAAATGTGCCAGAGAAACTGCTCTTGTGGGCACATCCTGTCCTGGCTGCTCTGCTGCTTTGCCTATTCCGTTAGCTTGCTGCTTTGTTAAATTCTTCCACATCTTCCCTCTGCAACCATCCATCAGGTCTAGGGATTGAAACCTGCCTATTTCTGTCACTTGGCAGCATCAACATGTGAGGAATGTTGTGTTAAAGTGCCAGCGGTCAGTATCTTTCCACCTTTCCACCTTTTGGTGGGTTGAAAGCTTCTCCCCAGACCCACTTGGTGGTGATGCCCACTGTCCTGGCCTCCCTGCTCGCTGAGGAACACAGCCTCCAACCTCTTCAGCTAGTGTAGGGACAGCACTGCTCTGCAATTGTGCTCAGGGGGACTTGCTGCTCTGTGTGCTGGAGGTCATGCAGAAGCTCTCTCCATCGGTCCATCTACAATTTTATGAATAAGCAAATCAGTTGTCACCCTTCACTTTTCTCCCTTCCCCATCTTTCTTATGTGAGTAGGTCAATAAACAAGGTCTAATGAGCTACTTAAATAGCGATAATGCTAATGACCTTCCGTTTGCAAGTAGTTAGGAGAACAGTGTTAATTATCATTGGTGCAGAGTATCAAGAAGGCACATCAGCATTTGATTAGGGACAACTCGAAAAACTGTAGTAAATGCAGTAGCTGAGATACTAATTTCATAAAAGTTAAAATTGGAGGTGCAGACAGAACAGCCTTCTTGTGCCAATTTGAGACAGTCTTATTGTGGATTTGCTTACAATGATATTTATCCGTCCTGGTAAATGCTAAATATGTATAAAAAATAGTTCTGCATGAAAAGACTTGCCTGTTTGAAGAAGCTGAACTTCTGAACTTCTGCATTATGGTTTAAAATTAATATTTCGTAGTTTAAAATGCTATGGCTGCTCCTGAGTAGATCTGTGGACATGGTTACACATGGTTCTTTCCTGTTCAGCCTGCTATGTTCAAACAGGCCACTGGTCTGCTGGGGCTCACATCCACTCTTGTCTGACTTCCTTAAAAACAAGGCACTGGAATGAAGCAGACTGTTGTGATGTGATGCTGCAGTCTGGGCTTTTAGTCCCTGTTTGACCTGTACAGCCATTCCTCAAATACAGCCCATTATGTGCTTGCTAGTGATTACATAGTGCTGTCTCTTCTGCCAAAGCAAGTGTGAGATGAACTTTAGTTCAGAAAAGGCAAAGAATATCCTGCTAGAAAAGTGTGCAAATTATTCTCCCAGCATCACTCTGTTTTATGGACTATTAGGAGATATTCCACTGCTGTTGTGCAATAAAGGATGGAGGAGAGGTCTCAGCCCTGTTGCCTGCAGCATGTCACGTTACAGGAAAGCCACCTCCATTTTTGCCAAGGACACTTTTCAGTGAGTGTCTGCACAAGTGCTTATTCATTTTTCAGGGCTTGCTTTCTGTGAGGCAGAATGAAGTTTTCAGTGAACATTCCTTCTAACAGTGAATCAAATCCTCTGGGCACTGCATTTGAGGGAACTTTGCATTTATCCAGATTTCTTTCCCTTCATGAATAGCATGAACAGAACAAGGTGCTTTGCCATGATGGAGATTTTGGCACTTCACCTGAAGAAGACAGAAGATGGCATGTGATATACATTTATGTTTTTGATTGTTCTTGTTTCTGTAGCAAGTGCCAGCTGCTTAGCTGGGCTTCTGTAGCCCAAAGAGGATCAGTGATCCTGCAGAGTCTTCCCCCATGTTAATGCATGTGACTGTGGAGGGTAAAATGGGACTTGCTCTTGCAGTCCAACATCTTTCACTCAGAGGGTGGTGATGCACTGGAACAGGTTGCCCAAGGAGGCTGTGGATGCCCCATCCCTGCAGGCATTCAAGGCCAGGCTGGATGTGGCTCTGGGCAGCCTGGTCTGCTGGTTGGTGACCCTGCACATAGCAGGGGGCTGGAACCAGATGCTCATTGTGGTCCTTTTCAACCCAGGCCATTCTATTCTATTTGATGTTGGAAAGGAAAAACTGCAAGAAAAAGAGCCCCCAGCCCTCATCCTCATTAACTTCTTCAAGCAGTAACTTTACATTGAGGATTTCTGTAGTCCTGG